TCAAATCAAACCAGTACTTCCCTGGAAGCAAAAATGGCAAAACTGAAGCTGTAGTACTTGGGCACAAGATTCACCAGAGAAAACAAGGGAAAAGTTGAGGGCAGAAGAAGAGGAAGGCCAACTATGAGATGGATCAATTCCATTAAAGCAGGGGTCTCAAACTCGCGGCCCGCGGGCCAATTGCTGGGACGGGCGGGCCACGGGGAGGGGCCCTGCAGCTTTCAAAGCGCTGGCAGCACCTGAGCCGGCCGCGGGATGAGCGGCCCACCACCACCGCGGTGGTGGAATACTTGGTGCGGCCCAGCCTCACCCAGCCTCTACTTCCAGCGGCCCCCAGGTAAGTTGAGCTTGAGACCCATGCATTAAAGGAAGCCACAGCCTTGAGTTTACACAAGCGGAGCAGTGCTGGCATCTTGGAAGGCATCCATTCATGGAGTCACCATAAGTAAGAGTTGACTCGTCCTACAACTGGTTGTTAATAGTTCAAAATATACTTGAGAAATTGTATTCAGGTCAAGTGGAAGGATGCATGGTTCATAATGGTGCTTTAGTGTTCATGTGCATGTTTTTAGATGCATGACACTTGGCCAGGGGTGGGTAGAAAGCCGACAGGGATCCTTCGGCATTTCTCTGGGTGCTGATGTTAAGTCTGCCTCCACCCATCTCAGCCTGCTCACTAGACTTCACCACCAAACCTGATACTCTCTGGTCCTCATTGATTGCCTTGCTTCTCTTTGTGTTCACTGCCCTTGGCATTCCAGTTGTGCATTCCAGCTGCTTATCTTCTGAATCAGAAGTCAACAACCTGTGCAGGCTATATTATAGAAAGAGTGAATCCAATACCTCCACAGACTGTACTGTGAACTTCATCTCCCATCAGCCCCACCTAATATGGCCAATGGTCAGGGATGTTGGCACTCTCAGTCTGAAACATCTGGAAGACACCTGATTTGAGGCGGAGGTTCTGGAAAATGTCTCTCCTTATCAACCTGATAAATATTGGAAGCCAGATCCAATGAACATCCCTGTTATTCAAGTGAGTTGTGTTGTGTGTCCCATTTAAGTGGGCTGTGTTAAACAACAGGTATGTTTAAGCCTGGACCAGAAAAGGTTGAGTCATGACCCTTCTTTTTGGCTATTGAATTAAGCATCATAATTCATTTTTGGTTAATATTCAGTTTGGCTCTGGCTGACAGTTTACAGACCTCCAGTCTTTGCAACCCAACCGTGGAGTCTGACAAAGCATTAATGCTTACAATAAAATGAATAATAGCTTGAACACAAACAATATTATTCGCATAACCCCTGTAGCCTGTTTCCACCCAGGAAGTTTCAAAAAGGTGCAGCTAATGGGTGTGAATAATGTCTCTGGACTCCCTCATCCTGCTGTTTTACATCAGCACTGTCCTTGTATGTGCTGGGTAATGGTGTGACCCCCTCCCCTCATTTTCTGCTGCCTTTTCTAAAGGGAGTATAATTGCTCTTTTCTGCCTGAAATTAGAGGGTGCCGTAAAGCTCATGGCAGACAAGACTGCCTATGAATAGTGATCTTTGCAAAGGCAATTGCTTGTTTGGTCCCTCCTTAATGACATCCTCAAGACTGGGGAATAAGAGGAGGTGGATGGGGGAATCTCTGCTAAATCAGTGAATATTGGTCCTGGTTATGACTTCCATTTTTTCTGTTGCTATCATGGTGGGCTGTGGATAATTAGAGGGAGCATCAGGGCTCCGCTAATCCAGCCAAATTGCCTGGAGATATTAGAGCTTTACGCAAGGCCCCATCAGTGGCGCTGGAGCAGCTGGTTGCACAAGCTCCAGGCCTGGGGAGATGGCTGCTGCTTTCATCCCTTCTGGTGGAGTTGGATGTGCTCCCTTTGTGGAACACTGATGTGCCAGGTGATGGCATGTAGGGCCTGGGAAGGGTTCAGAACTGGGAAGAACTGATGCATTAAGTGGGTGGAGAAGGACCCTTCCTTGCAGATACAGCCAGTGCTTGTGAGTGCCCATCCCAGCAAGGGGCCATCTAGAGGATGCCTGCCCACCCCGTGAGGTTCTTAGTGGTGGAAGGCTGCAGCAGCAATTGGAGGGACTCACCCTGATGGCCATGTATCATCTCCAGTCTCGAAAGCAGCAAACTTTTCCACATCAGTAGAGAAGCATGAACAGGAGGGTGCTTCTGTCCTAGCTGGGGATTCCCACAGACGTCTAATGGATACAGAATCCTGGACTAGATAGTCCTTTAGTCTAATCCATGCTAGCTCTTGAGTTCCTACTAAATGATGCAAAAGAATTAGCAGAAGTGAAGAGAGGCCACAGTGCAAACACACACAGAGAGACAGTTTTTGTTACCCTGCTTTCCTGCAATTTTTGTTCTCATTTCGACAATATAATTTAGGATTGGAGGCATCAAAGAGGAGCCTATGGGTACAAGTATGCCCTGGGACAACCTCATAAGACTTCCCACCCCTCCTGATTTTAGTTTTATTTCTCAGTATATGGGAGCCTAGCATCCTGCAAAGGGAAGTGTGCTTCTAGAACCATCTGTATTTAGATTCAAAGGTATGACAGCTCAGGTCTGCCCCCTCTCCCCACCCACCCTTTTACTCCACCTATTACTTAGCTTCTTGGGCAAGGGTTTGTTTGTTTGTTTAGTCATAGAATCATAGACTCATAGATTGATAGAATCATAGATTGGAAGAGGCCATCAAGTCCAAACACCTGCTCAATGCAAGAATCAAACTGCCCATCCGGATGTCTACTCAGCCCAGCTCTGCTTAGCTCCCAAGATTAGGCAGGATCAGTCACCCAGGGTATATGATAACTACAGTATATAGAAATCATAGCAGATTTCCTTCTGTGCAACAACTGTTTTGTGACTTTCCGTGCTCATCATGACAGACATTGTGGGAAAGGACTCAAGACATCCTCTCAAGAATCTAAGTGTGCTTATTGAACTGAAAAGGTTGGAGGACCCCTGATTTAAGGCATCATTTTAACATTATTAAACAGTTGGGAACCATCAGAAATCCTTGCTGAACAATTGCAAGGCAGTCCAAGATCTACCAGTAGATCGACTTACTGCCTACTGAGACTCCTAGAGTATGGCAGGACAACTTCAGAGGTGTGATCCAACCATGGGCTGCCTGCTCGAAATGCACCCCACAGCTGCTGAGATAGCCAGACTCTCTTCTGCTTCTCAGCATCTCTCATTTTGCCTTTTGTTAGTGGGTGGACTGTCTTGGCTCAGCAAAATGCAATTAAGCTGTCCTTATAAAATATACATGAGCAAGAATTGCCTGCGGATTCACCAGGCATGTTTTTTGACTGAGTGCTAATTTGTGGAGGATTGAGGGCTCTGTCTGCTGTAATCAGCCCAGAGTGTTCTGGATTATGCAAACACATTCAGGTAATGGTATGATTTTTTTCCCCTGACTGTTAAAATTTCTGTTCTCAACTTGTTCTTTCTAAGTCGATATGAAAGTTCCATTCCCTGGCTGGAAGGATGATTTTTCCAAGACTGGCGTAGTGCACTCCTGGTGTATAGACTTCTCTCAGTGGTCCCAAACTGGCATGGCCAATGGCCAGGAATGCTGGGAATGGTAGTCCGGAACTTCTGGAACAAGCCACTTGGGGGAAGCTGGGCTAAGGAACAAGCTAGGATTGGGGATTCTCAGGTACCAAATACTCATCCATGGGGCTCAGTAAGCAACCCTGGGCCAGTAACCAACTCAACTGGAGAGGCTTGTTGTGAAGATAAAGTAGAGAGGAATAAAGTAATAAAGCATGGTGGTTGCTTCCTGAGGTTGCAGAAGCAACCTTGGACGACCTCACGGAAGTCACAGAGCAGGTGTTATGATAAATAGAGAAGGTTTGGGAGAAAAGAGGCATGGGTCTGCTGTTTCGTGTGGTATCTCCAGGTTGTCATGCTTAATAGCTCAAAGGCCCATGCGGAAAGACAAAAGCAAAAATGAGAAGTGGAAATTACCTCAGTCGCCTTGTCAGCGGCCCAGCAAAGCTCAGGATACTCCAACGCATCTGTGTTTGGAGGTATATGTCTAGCAGAGGACAATCCCATAAGGGACCCCACAAAACTGAAGAGTCACATTTTCACCCTTTCCAAAGGTCAAAGGAGTAGGTCCAGTCATTGATCCTGAGGAAGCATGCTTCATTCCTTAGGGAAATCACAGGTGAGCATAGTTAGGATCGTGGCCTTATTGTAATTCTAAATTTATGAATCATTTCTAACTAGGGGAAAAGAAAAGCACTCTAGTTGTAGAACTCCTTCCCCAGCTTCTTTCTTTCCATAGTTCACCTAGCTGATGAAGACATGATGGTTAATGCCACCCTCTGATGTTTTTATCGCTGTCTAGTTTTGCTGTAATGTAGTTTTTGTAGTGTTATGTTTTTGCTTCTTTGTTGTGTGATGCATTTTCCTCTTACCTTTGATCCATAAATTGCCTCAAGTGCTCTGTCGGGGGATGGGTGATTCTAAAATCACTCTGTAAACAAACAGAGAGAAACACATTGACTTGCAGGTACAACCTGCCTTTCATTCCACCCTCCTGCTGTTTTCAGTGCTGCTTGCACAATGCAAGGTAGGTCTCTCACAAAGCTTCTTCATCTTTACGCTCCTCCACCAGGTGTGTTGGTCTTGAACACTCCAAAGTCTGACCATGTTTCCCATACCTGTTGCGGAAATTCCATGTGCATACCTCTGTACAATCAGATGTCCACATGAAGTTTAGCAACAGTTGTATGTCCAGCTTCTACACTCCACCTGTTCGTGTAGCCATCTGAAATGGGTTTATATTTGGATGCAAAGAACTAAGCAGGGCAGAAAGATGGATGAAGTTGAGGAAGAATGTTGAACATAGCAAGCTTTGGGATTCAATGACAGTTGTGATACTCCCTGTTGAAGTTATACAGTTGCAAAACAGTAAAGTAATAGAGTTTTTTTCTGATTCTTTTCCCATGTTTGGCTTCACTCTTCCCCATTCAAGTCCCTGGAGGCATTGCTTCGGAGTCCCTTACGTTCACACCCCTGGAAGACATGATTTTTCTGAAATGGGAGGAACCAGTGGAACCCAATGGCCTCATCACTCAGTATGAGGTGAGTTACAAAGTTCTCAAGGTGGACCAATTGTGACACTATTTCCCTAGGCTGTGTTACCCAATTAGAGAGGTCTTTATTTAAATTACGTTTTGATGGTATAAAGAAACACATTGAGACTGCCATACAGTAACATATTAGAGGCATTTAAAAATAATCAAACAGGAGTGCAACAAAAAACAACCAAACAATTGAACCATGTACAGTTCATGGCAGCAAGAGACAAAATCACTCAGAACAAAGCTGTGATTGACAAAACCAGTCCATAACAGTTGGCTGTGTTTTTAACACATTCAGCTCATGAATGTTCTGGTTCTGGTTCCGGTTTTGTTTTTGCTTTTGTTTTAACCATGGTCTTATTGTTAGCTGCTTTGAATGCCATTTTTTCTGAGTGGGCAAATGGGATGTTAGACAAACAAACAAAATGGAATGATGCAAAGAACACCACCTGATTCTGAATGGCTTCCTGAAGGCATACAGAAACAGAATTGTGGTAGCCAAGTTTACAAAGGACTGTCCTCTGTTTAAAAGACTGTTCAGTCCAAACACAATTTAAAGATAAAGCATGATCTGAAAGGGTAGTCCGGGGTGTTGGGGTAGCCCATCACCACTGAGTACCTGGGAATTTGTATGAACAGGTCCTCAAGTGAACCTGTTGTCACCTTCTCCATTGTAGTGAGATGTACATCTGTTTATTTTCTAGATCTGGGCTCTCAGAGCGCCCTATCTCTGCCCTCGTGGGCAATGTAGTTCTTTCTACGCCAGCTGTGGCTTTTCAGAGCGGATAGTGGGGGGCTTTCTAGGGACCATGGAGGGGAGGATATGAAGAAGCCCAGCAGTGCCTTCTAGGGATATGTGAGGAATTCATTTAGGTGTGGGAATCCATCATATTCCCTGGGCTCAGCTACCCGGGCTATGGTCCTCTTTGCAGCAGCATGGAACCCACTTTCCTGGTGACCATACCCAGCATTTTTGGGGCACCTGCCAGGAATCAAGCCCCATGTGCTGGACACGCAGCACCTTTCTTCTGCATCAGGTGCAGCTGCCATCTGAACATCCGCAGCGGACACCAAAGAAAGCTGCCAGTTGCACAATGGGAGCGGGGTCCGTGAGCGTTCATGGATTTTCTCTTGGCTTGGCTCCCTTTGGAAGGCTGAGCTGAGCACAAAGGGAAGCTCATGAATGCTTGGAGGGGTGGATCCTGTAGGGCTCATCCTAAACCCCAGAGCCTCAGCCCATCGTCACGAGCAGGGGCAAAAGTCAAAGGGAGCTCAATGAAGAGGCTGTTTCTCTGTTGCCGTCTTGGATTCATCTTGGCCAAAAGTCATAGGCTACCAAAATCACCCATCTGTATCCTTTAAAAGTGAAAGAAATGCATCTCTGTGCTCATTCTGCACTTGATTGGATGCCCATAATCCTCTGAGTTTGGAGCATTATGGGCAGCCTCATGAGATGGTGCCCTTAGGCAATGTTGGCTGGGACATGCTGGGAACCGTAGGCCCTTTTTCTGTCTAAACTAGAGTAGAGTTGGAAAGGGCCAGAGTAAAGGGGGACTAAGACTTCACGTGATCTGGAAGTGCTACTTCTATTAATGCAGCCTAAAATAGGATTTGCCCTTTTTGCAGACATATCACATTGTCGACTCATTCAGCTTGTGATCTACAACAACGTCAAGATCCTGCGCACTTACAGTCTTGTTGAGCCAAGGATTCCCCTTCTTGTAACGATGCATTTGGTTTCTTTTTCCTGGGTGGAAGACTTGGCATTTGTTCCTCCTGATTTTCATTCTGTCATTTTCGGCTCAGTGCTGCAACCTATCAAGACCACCTTGAATCTTCTTTCTGTCTTGCAGGGTATTAGCTATCCCACCCAATATCTGCAAATTTCATAATTGTTTCCTGCATTTCCTTATCCTTATCATGTGTTGAAGAACACTGGCTTGTTCCCCCTCCCCAGCTTGAGAAGGTGCCATTGATGAGCACGCTTTGAGTCTGATTCTGTCGCCAGCTCTGGACCCTCCTGCAAGTTGTTCCATCCACCCATTTTTTGTTGCTTTTAGCATCCCTTACTAGCCTCAGTGAATTCCTAGCTTTGGCCTTCCTGCAATTCCACACTACCTGCCTTTGTAGCCTGGCCTTCTTTCCACTTTCTATACATGTCCTTTTTGTTGTCAGATACTCTCTAAACTTTTTGTGAAGCAACATTGGCTTCTTCTTTGAAATCATGCCTTTGGCATTTCCTTTTTAAAAAAAACCCTACCCTTCTTGAACTCCGTTTTCCGTCAGAGTCACTTGGAATGGGATTTTACTTACAGTTGTTGCGGGTTTATTAATACGGGTTTTCTTGAAATCTAGAGTCGGTGTTTGGCTACATTTGGCTTTTACTTCCTTTAAAATCAAGAATGCAAGCCTGGCACGGTTCCTTTGCCCCAGAGACCCTGCAGCTGCCACTTCGTCCACTAGGTCTTCTCAGTTAGTTAGTATCAAGTCAAGGGTAGCCATTCCACTTGCCCCCTCCTTCAGTTTCTGCTGGAGGACATTATCAACAACACATAGGATTGCTCCTTGATAGATTAATCTATCGATTGAAGTTGTGTATGAGTGAGATCAACATTCTGTGACAAAAGGGAAATTTTGCTTCTAGATGATGCGGACAGACATCATCGCAAGCATCATCTCTGAAGGAGCGTTTGATTTGGTGGGATGAGGAACAGGGAATGCCTTGGTTAAGATGCTGATCACTGTCTGTATGCGCACAGAAGAAGAAGAAGAAAAAGACGACGATGACATCTTTTTGGTTACTGAAACCTTTTAGCCAAGATGTTTTTAGATTGTTTTACTTGATGAACTTCGTCAATGAAATGGCACAGCCTCGCTGTTTTGTCTTCCTTAACCAAGCAGTCTTTCCACAAAATAGCTCTGAGCCAATTTATGACTGCAAAGGGATGGTTCATAAGCTTTATCTTCACCAGCTGTCATTGCCGATCAGAGTGTATAGCAAAAACAAACATCTCATCTGCGCATCATCTGCATTCAAAATATCTGGAAAATGCCAATGGCTGGATGATACCATGCCAAAATCATTTGGAGAGGGATGCGTGCTTTCACCATCCCTGTCATCCCCAGAAGACACTGTTTGAGTTGAATGCACAATGTATTTGTCACACAGTCATCTCACCCAAGCATTATTTGTTCCTGTTTAGAAAGCACAGCTGGAATGTCTCCCTGACCAAAGAGCTTGGAAGGGAAATAGGATCTCTGAGGTTGGCAGGAAACAAAGGGTCAGCCTCTCCTTCCTATATACCATTGTTCCACTCTGGAATCATGCAGTAGGGATAGAAGAGCATTGAAAAACACACGAGCATCTCGTGATCCAAGCTCTGAACATGAACACAAGCACACGTCTGCTGAAAAGATTCCTAAACTGCCCAACATGTGCTCCTGTGCATTTTGTTCCTGCCTCCCAGTTCTGTTCCTGTACATTTCCTAATCAGCACCAATTTCTTCAGTGGGCTGCATAAGCACAGTTTGCACCAATTAAGATATTTGGACATGCTCAATTTGTACAACCTCCCCATTTGCCCAGAGTGAGCATTTACAGAGTGAGAACTGAGTGCCAGCTCTCCCCCAGGTGGTCGCTTTCCTTAGATGGTCCCCAGGGAAAGCGACAGCAGCTGGTTCAGCCGCTCCTGCAGTGCTTTTGGTTGGGTGGGGGGAATCAATTGTCAGCCTAACTGCAGTGCAGAATCTAAGACAAATGCCATGTTTCCAAAACCTTTTGAGCTGTACAGCTGGGCAAATCTCATGGATGATAGCATCATGTCCAGCATCTAGGAGGACCTTTGTATGTCACGAGGAGATGCTGAAGCAATTGATGGAATTGGCTATTTTCCCCACAAGGCATTGTGAGAAGAGCTTTTCTTTGTTTGCTGCACTTAACACAGAAAGAAAAGACTATGTTGTTGGATAGTTTTTTGAAAAGTGTGTTTGTATGTATGTTTTGGTTCCTGCCATGTTCCTTCCCAAATGCATCCAGGCAACACCCATTCTTATCTCATTTTATTTTCATCCTGTGCTGCTGCTCTTTTTGGCATCAACAAAAATTATTAGGGCACAGAAACAGTGGAGTGAAAAAGCTGATCTCTATCTGTGCAGCTTTCCCTGCCATGCCATGGGCAGTTCCTCCTAGAGAACTGACGTGAGCCCCATTGTCATTCCAGACACAAGGTTTTATTTCTTGGAGATTTAAGGACAACTCCTTCCAAAGCAGGAGTAATTCTGTTAGTTCCCCTTTGTTTCAGATGCAGAATTCAAGCGTGCCTTTCATCCTCCAGCTAAAAGTTCTCTGGCATCTCAGTGCTCACTCTGCTTATAAGCCGGTGTTTGGCTGAACCACTTCAAAGACTGGAGGAAGGACACGGCATATTTCCCTCCTGCATAAAATCATTCCTTATACCTAGAAAACTAGATGACAAGGAGAAGGGCTCTAGGTACTTGTCGAAACATTTTCTGCAGAGTATAGTGAAGCATTCCTCTGTGAATGCTTGAAGAATGAAGGCTGCACCACCAGATGGCTCCTTGCGTGACACACGCAATGCGAACAGAGGGGGGCGTCACTGCTTGTGCAATGGATGTACGGGGCTCAGCTCCTGGTGAGCGCCACACTGGCCGGGAAGTTTGACTCATGGTCCCAAGAAAGCGGGCCAGAGTCTGGGGAGCTGAACCTCACTGATTCCTCCCGCTCGGTGTTGTCAATAGTAGGCTAGATGGAGCAATGATCTGACTGTCGTATCTGGTAGAAGCAGGCAGCAGCTTTCCAATGAAGCGGTCAATAATTCCCTGGAGCACTGTGGGAAGTGTCTTGGAGTCCTTCCAGAGACTGTGAAACTGGAAAAGGACCACTCCCAGACTCATTCTGGGAGGGGCCTTTCACGTGTCCTATAATGCCCCAAAGTGGTACTTTTGGGTGGGTCTTGAGGGGAAATTACAATGGTGGTTCCTGATGAAACCGCCCTGTACACACACATAGAAAGGGTGGCCCAGGGCAGGCATCATGGAGCATCACAGGCAGCTGCCTGGGGATGCCTGAGTCTGCCATGGAACTATTGGAAAGAAGGGGGGAAGGCAGGAAAAGAGAACAATGAGTTATGTGCAATTTAATCTTTGCACATGTGTCAGCCCTTGTGCTTAATGTGGAATGAATCTGAGTAATGGCCCTTGTGTAATAGCAACCGAATTAGTGTTTAGGAAACAAGTCTGACCTCTACCCATCACCCTGTACAATAGCACATCAGACAGTTGGCAGCAGTCAAAGCATAACTGTGCAAAGCAAAAAGCCACCTGTGGGAAGGTGCTAGGCTCGTGTGTTCTCCTCCTCTCCTCCTTCCACATGACTGCAAAGAGAAACAGATTTCTGCTTCAGCTTTAGCAGACTCCCTGTTTGTTGTTATGTGCAAACTAGGAAATGGGGAAATAACTTGGGGTTTGTTGATGGCTTGTTTAGGAATTGGTTAGACTCCTTGCTTGTTTAGGAGTTGTCTAGACTAGACTCTTCCCTGCTCAGTCCTAAACACCTTACCAACACCCAGTGGCTTCCTCAGTGGAGAAAGTCTCTGTTCATGTCCCCCACTGTCATTTCTGATCTGTGATCAAAGCACTCATGTGCAGAGTAATCTCTGTGGTTATCTCTGATCACAGCTTGGACACAACAGCAGGGATTTCCCTAGGAAGCAGGGCTGGAAAGCAAGCCGTACTTCCTGAAGGAATCCTGGAAGGCTGTGTGGGTCAGATGGGCGACTTTTGCCAGCTTTCCCCTTGACCGGAGCCTATTTTAAACCACATTCCCTGGTGCATATGTAACAACAAACCAGAAGCCTCTTAAAGTCAAAACTGAGGTTTTGGGATTCCTTCTCCTGGTCATGCAGGGCAGGAATGGGGTGGGAATGCATAAACCGAGACTTTTTGTGGGCTCCTTGCTGTTCACACATACAGCACTGTGTCCTGCTTTGCACTGTAGGGCAGAACAGCCAGTAAGAACAAATCTAAGAAATAACTCAATGCATGAGCAAGCCGATCACTGCTTGAAGGGGAAACCACATGCAGCAGTAACGGAGCACCCTGGGAAGCTGACCAATGCTTTAAATGAGGAACCATGCTCAGTGTCGTCACCTTTTCAGTCCATCTGTTTTTAAACAAAAAGCTGGTGAGGGGCAGTGAGGAAAGAATGATGCTCTTAAGAACAAAATAAACCTCATCTCTACGTCTTGAATGATACAGTCCTATAAATTCTATATTTCATGGTTGTAAATCCCCAAACTTGGAGGCTTATGATCCTCCTATGCAGGTCGGGAGGAGCAGGAGGGACCATCCATGCCTGCCCATCTTCTTCTCTGTGGTTTTTGCTAGACAGCACTTTTCCCTCTCATCTAGCAATGGCATTTCTAAGCAGGAGACAGCCTGGTTGAGGCTCGGAATAGCTCATATCTTGGCTTTTCCAGTCTTTTCCTCTCTCTGCTTACTGAAATGCCAGCTCTCCCCACCTTTGGAGGTCAAGTTGTGATCCAAAAGCCAGTGTGGTGTACTGGTTAAGAGCGTGGGACTGGAACTCAGACGATCTGGGTTCAAGTCCCCGCTCAGCCATGGAGCCAACTGGGTGACTTCGGGCCAGTCACAGACTCTCAGCCCAACCTACCTCACAGGGTTGTTGATGGGGATAAGATGGAGGAGGAGAATGATGTAAGCTGCCTTGAGCCCTTTGTAGGAAAAGGCAGGATATAAATTGAAAAAAAAAAGTTCCTAACTTTGGTAGCCGGCAACCATGGCTCTTTCCACACCAGCTGCCAAAGGGAGTGGGAGTGGGTGGTGGATCTCTTCCTCTTCCTTCCCTGGGTTGGAGTATTGTCTCTGACCCGGAAACAGGAATTCCAAACAATGCAACACTGTCAGAGGCCATGGGAGTGCTCCATCCATGAACTGGGAACAGTTAACACCAAGGCTGTGATCTGAACTGGCATGCAGAATAACAGGTTGGAAAATGGCGTATGTCTTGATGCTGATATTGCCCTCAAGAGACAAGGACACCTTTGGAAAAGGGAATACTACCTGTAAAAATACAATGAGAGAGAGCATGTATCCTTTTGTTTTAAAGTCTGTCCCTTTATCATAGATCAGCTACCAGAGCATTGAATCTTCTGACCCAGCAGTCAATGTGCCCGGCCCACGACGCACTGTCTCTAAGCTCCGAAATGAAACCTACCACGTGTTCTCCAACCTGCATCCTGGGACAACCTACCTCTTCTCAGTGCGGGCACGAACTGGCAAGGGCTTTGGCCAAACTGCTTTAACTGAGATCACCACCAACATCTCAGGTAGGTGAAGTGGAGGCCCCGCCCCCAGTGATCTAGGCTTTATCCAAAGATAGGGCATGGCCTGAGCATTGGGAAGTCTGCCATTGGAGGTGAATAGACCATGGCTTTGAATATACTGCTGTCTGGTAAGCCCAGGGAAGTAGTTTTTTTCTGTTCTTTTTCAAAATTGGATGAGTGTGCAGAGCTGTGCTTCTGTTGACATGTGCGTGATGTGCGGTCATAGAAAGGTTGCAAGGCTCCATGCCAGTTGCTTAGTCAAGGAGACCTGCTTTAAGTATCCCAGGCAATGGTTGCCATTTCATTGGATGAACTTGCGCATGTCTTCAACGTCTTCTCCTGTTTACTTCTACTCTTTTTTGTTATCCTATTCTTTCTTTTTGGTTGGTGTTGACTCATGTTCCTTCCGAGGGTATCCCTGCCCAGCATGTACCATGAGTTTTCTGCCTTCATCCATACCTTGCAATCTTGGTGTTGCAGTTCTAAATAGAAATACAACTGCTCCTTATGGACTAAGGTGTTCTGGGAACCTTACATTTCCAGGCCCAGGGGTGGCTGGGGTGCTCCTCATGCAGAATTCCAAGTGGCAGAGAAAGATGTCTCACACAGAGTTCTGCAATGAGATTTTTCACTGCTGCTGTCAGAGAAATAGGAAGGGAAGGCAATTTTAGAATTTAAGGTTGACCCTCCCTTGCTCCAGATTTCATCTCAGAAGTACTACAAGATATAAATGCAGAAGGAGCTGTAGACCTGAGTGCCCACTGAGGCTTGCCTGGTACCATCCTTACTATCTTTTTGATACCGTCTCAAGACTTTTCTCTACCCCAGGGCATTTAATTAGTCGAGGCTTTGCTGTTTGTTTTTAATACTGGTTCCATCAGGTTTTCTCTTGCTAAAGTTATTGGAATTTTATATTTAAATGTGGTTTTAACTGTGATGTTTTCATTTGCAGTTTTCATTTTTTGTATGGTGTTTTTTCTTAACTCTTTTCTATTCTGCATTTTTAAACTGTGTTTTAATGGATTGTTGTAAGCTGCCCAGAGAGCTTCAGCCATTGGGTGGCATAGAAGTTAAATAAACAACATAAACATGAGCTCAGAAAACCAAATAAACCATATTCCATTATTTTAAAAGAAAAATAGATTGATTGCTGATCTGATCCTTGATACTGAGGGAGTTCCTCTGTTACATTTTCTCTAAAGCAAGAGTGCAGAACCACGTCACCAGAGCAAAGGCAGGTTATGATTGATAATATCAATAGAAGTCTTTTCATTACAATCCCCAGTACAAACAGCTGTGGGCCACAGTAGACTAGTTTGGGTGTTAAATGCCAAAGTGGGAGTACAACATTCTGCCATATGGTTCTGCATGGGAGTTTTCTCCATCAGCTCTGGGTCGACGCAAGTGAAGTCATAGAAACATAGAAACAGAGCGAGTCAGAAGGGGCCTCCTGGGCCATCTAGTCTTTAAGAGAACAATGCATCCTCAGGATGCTGCAGGATCAGTGCTGGATTAATGCCCCAGCTATACAATCAAGGGAGTTTTTGTAAGCAAAGGGCTGAACACATTTCATTGCAACTTCCTGGACAGGCTCAGAAAGGGAAGAGAGCTCAGTTTCCACAGCTGCTTTTCTCATTGGTCTGTCAGTATCCATGCTAAAGATAGCTGGTTAATAGCCAAGTGGCTTCGATCAGGTGTCTGGCAGTCCACCAGCACCTTTGCAGAGAGCCAGGGTTGTGTTGCCACAGCTTGTGCCCCCTGCACATTGAGGTGTAAGCAAGGCACAGGAGGCAACAGACTTGATATACAAATGCACTCTGCCATCTAAGCCCACAAAAATCCCCTTTTGCAGGGCATTGGGGTCTCCTGTGGTCTTGTCCAACCCCACCATTCCATAATTGCAGGTTTGCTAGTGGCCACTAAATGCTAACTGTTCATGTTCCAATGCTGACTCCAGCTGCATTTAAACCAGCCAACACCTCTCTGTAGTGTTCTTGGAACCCCTTCTAGATCCACACACACAGTCACTTCCTCATCCAAGTGCGTCTCAAGGTGTTTCCAAATAAAAAGAATACATCTATTGATAAAATTACCCATATACCATGGATTGCCATGTTTCTCTCTGTTTCTCTCTTTATGGCAATCCATGGTATATGGGCAATTTTGTCAATAGATGTAATAAAATAGATTTATTTATTTTTTTATAAATAATGACATTGAGCCCTGACCTGCTACCGGTAGCTAATTATTTTATTTCCTCATTGTGGTGTTGGGGTAAGGATGAAAACATCACTCTGCTGGAATTTTCAGTCCTGTTTGCTATTGTATTTCCGTGGGGCAGAGAAGTACATGGTTGCCCTGAAAAGCAGGCAAGTTCTGTTTTTTTAAAGAAAAACAAGGACAAAGGAAACCACAAGGCTGTCATGCTAGGTGTTCCCTTTGTAAGGGCAAACTATTGAACATACTGATTCAGGATATCATCCTGGCCACCAGGTTGAGTGGCTTTCAAGGGGGATTGGACAACTGAATGGAGGAGATGGCCATTAATCCAGATAATGATGTGCCACCTCCAGTATCAAAGCCGGCATGCCTAGGTGTGCCAGTTGCTGGAGAACGTGGGTGTGGCCTTCATGGCCCACTTGTGTCTTTCTGATGGGCACTGAACTGGCTGGTGGACTCGGTGGCAGGACTGCGTGGGCCTTGGATGGGGTCCAGTGGGATGGTTCTTCTATCTTCTGAAAGCCAGTGAGGTATGGGGCTTAGGGTGTTGTATTAGGGAGCTGGGAGACCCAAGTTCTCACCCCCATCTCATCTCATCATCTCATCTCATCTCATCTCATCACTGGGCAACCTGGGCCAGTCACTCACTCTCAGCCTAGCCTACCTTACCTCAGAGGGTTGTTGTTTGTGAGGTTAAAATGGAGCTGTGTATCCTCCTTGGCCTCCCCACAAAGGGGGTGGCATATAAATGCAATGTGATGGTAATGTTCTTAGGTGTTTGCTACTTCTAAATGTCTATATGAAGGTTCATGAGAGCAGCCAGAATTTTTCACCACAGGAGGTGACCCTTCCTCAAAATAGCGGCTTAAAAAGTAAAGGCAATGCATGAGAAGGACGTGTTTTTTGTACTTGGGCGCGTATCACTAGTCTCATCATGGCTGTCCATTAATGCTGGAGCTATGACGTTCAGATTCCTCACCTTAGTACAGATGTGCAAAGCAGCAAAATTCAAGCTTGCCAAAGTTCTGCAGATTTCATCTCAAAGCATATTCTGCCTTGAGTCTATGTAAGAGTGTAAGCATTTTGTTTTCCCATTTGGCATGAAAAACCGTTCATATTTGAGCACTGAGTTTTTCAAAGCTATGCATTAATTGTGCATATCTTTGAAATGTAAGTGCCCCTTTCCCCGTCAAATTAAGTACATTTGTGTGCATTTTTCAAATGATGAATTTTCATTTTCTGCAGAGGGGACTTTTTGAGAAGGACCTCAGATGACAATCTTTGGGTCTGGCTAGTCACATACGGAAAGAGGCGCTCCAAGCCATTTGGGGCTTTAAGTATTAATGTTAGCTCTTCAGTGTGGATGCATTTCATGATTCCTGCTCATGCAAAATTCCTCCTCCTCCTCTTTTCTTTTATCTCTATGGCATCCAATAATCAAACACTCTGGGTGGTTTACCGCAGCATGTAAAATACAATAGAAATGCCATCTAAAAATATAATAAAAATATCATGAAATTACACTACAAAATTTAAAAGCCAGATTTAAAACTGAATTTAAACAGCTGCAATAGCTAACGCAAATGAACTCAGCAGGCCTGTTAGACAGCTGGTATAATGCCCCAGTATGCTATTTCGAGCTGATTACATGCCCTGTAGTAAAGGGCAGCCTTAACCTGGCACGGAAATGACAGTAAAATTGGCACCAAGTGGGCCTCAGTGGGGAGCTTTTTCCATAATTGGAGGGTCTCTTCCTTGTAGCCACCAACTGAACCTCCCTTGGAGCTGTCAGCTGGAGGCAGGCCCAGATTCTGACCATAATGTCTGGATAGATTGCAGTTGGGAGAGGTGTTTCATCAAGTAATGTAAACTTGTAAACATCAAGAAAACTGCCCAGAAAGCCCCTGGCTTGTGGGGTGGGATACAAGTAGAAGAAGTAAGCAATGTGGTCCTGAATCTTGTAGGGAGGTCTTCATGTGGTCAGCCATGCCCCATGTTTTCTGCTCAGGGTCTCTGCTCAGAACTTCTGCGGGTGATTTATGTATATTCTGGAGTGAATGGTCAGGGCAGTTCATTTGCCCCAATGTTTCAAATCCTGTAGCTGCAATTGTACTCAGGCCCGATACCCCACAGTTCATACAAGCTTGGGGGTTATTAAACCAAAGCTAAAATCCAGATCCACAGACTTTGTGTGTAGCTTCCCCACGTGTGAGTCCCCAGAACCAGTATGCAGCAAAACCCGGGTCAGTAAAGCATCCTTTGGCTCTGGGTTGGTCTTGCTCATGCTCATCCTGGAGACTGGATCTTTCTAGGCAGGAAAGAGTCTGTGCAAGCTACAGAAAACAGTGCACAGGACTTTGGGCCGCTCTTCTTCTGAAGGAGCCTACAAGAATTGTGGAACCAGATTCTGACTCCGAGGAGGAGGAGGGGCTAGACTCCTGTACTTCCTGATGGTTAGAACCCCCAGGGTATGGAATGGGCTTCCATGGGAGGTGGTTGAAGCCCCATTGGTGAGGGTGTTCAAGGGTAGGCTGGACATGCACATGGTAGGCATGTCATGAGCGGAGCCAGCTGGAGCCTGGAGACAGACTAGATGGCCTGGGAGGCCCCTTCTGATCTTTCTGTTTCTATGTTCCCACAGTGGAGAGGCCAAGGGCAGAGGGCCCAGAAATAAGCTGGGCAGTCCCTGTAGATCAGTCAGTTTCAAATACTGTGGGGAAGCTTAGCAAGTACACTGACATGGAAGAGGGCAGATCAAGCTAATGGATCCTTGTGTGTGGCATCAGGCTGAGAGGGCTGACCCACTGAGGAGCACTGGTCACCCCAAGTGAGTGGCCCATAAGTAGGATGATTGCCTTGCAGGCATGGCTTGCTCATTTCCTTCTGGAAGGCAGGAGAGGCATTTGACTTGGCAGCCACTGCTTATCTCAAGCCACTTTCTCCGAGTAGCCAGTCCTCTACCGCCACGTGCTTCGCTTGTTGTTGACTCCTGCAGTTCTCTTCATTTGTACGGTAAAGCCAGTGTAGCTGGGCAACTCTCACTTAATAAACCCATTTAGTTAGAAAGCCATTGTCCTGGTCTATCTGGAAGGAGGGGGAGAAGAGCCATCAGGAAACTTCCAGGCCGTGGAGTGTTTTTCCTGCTGTTTGGCTTTGACATGCGGGTTGGTTCACTGGTATGGACTCCTGGCTTCCATCCCTTGCTTCCGGTGCCTGGCTTGACTTCTTGGCAAGGCTCTTGGCTCCCAGCTCCAATCTGACAGCAAGCTACAACTCTGCCAGTCTGCTCTGGACTCCTTCAACCACGCAGGTTATAGTGTGGTTTGCTCAGGCTCAGTTGACAATTCAGTCTGTGCTAAGCTCGTGAACTTGGTTTCCTTCTCAAAGGATGCCATTTCTGAGTCAGGCTTAAGCAAGTCATTTGGAAAGGTGCTTACTCTTTCTGGGTGACAGGCCCTTAACATTTGGTGGTGGCCGTGCCTTCATTTGGGCAGGGCACTCTCGGATAGTGTGTGTTGCAAGAGAGATGTCACAGCTCCAGCCATTTGAGGGACAATCAGGACAGCCGCAACTCGGAGCGGCTGAACTGCCCGGGAAGCCACATATCCCACTGTGCTGATTCCTTTCAATATGCCTCCCCTTGAAATAGATTCTTTATGCTCCAGAGGTGCCCTCCCCCTTCCCAGCTACCCTGCCATCGGGATTTAAATGGAAAACAGTATGCATTACATTTTACAACCCTGCTGGATAATTTACTTGCATGGCGGTTTGAAAAGCTGCCTTGTTTACATTACGGAGGCTCCGGCACTGGAGAACATTTCCTAAGTCAGTGGAGCAGCTTTGATGGGATCTATTAGAGGGGGTGGTCTGGGAAAGAAGAAATTGAAAGCTGCTGGCCTTCTTTGTCTTGCTAGAAATGGTCTTGGAGAAATGATATTATCTGCATGAGTGGGAAATGTTGTCTGAGCTGGAAGAGATAAGGGGGCATTGCAGAGTGAGGGGGCTTCGCGACTTTCATTACACAGAGCAGGATGCCGAGGGCACTCTTTCTTCTGCTGTTTCTTCATCCCGCACTGCGTCGAGGATGGTGTTTTATTTAGGAAAACTGGTGAATGCTGATGCCTCTGATGTAAATAATCATTTTAATGAACATTTATCCAGATAAGCATGTGAGAAGGAAAAGCACATTGGAAGCTGTTGGATATGGAATTTAGACCGTTGTGCGCTCTCTCTTTCTCAGCCTTCCCCAACTTGGTGCCCTCCAGGTGTGCTGATCTTGTGGCCATGCTGCCTGGGAATGATGGGAGTAGCAGCCCGGTGTATCTGGAGAGTGTGGGGTTGGGGAGGGCAATTCTTTTTAATGCAGTCTGGTCTCACTGGCTGTGGCTTCAGGGCCGCTTGCTGAAGTCGCTTCCGTCAGCTGCTTTGCAGAAGCCTTGGAGCAGGACCTTTTGTGTACAAGGCATGGGCTCAGCCATCTGAACTGCATCACAGCAATCTGTGGTAGAAGAACGTCACCCATCCCTCAGAGGCATCCCTGGGTCTGGCTATTGGATGCTATTTCACCCAATTGAATGAAACAGAATGAACCAGCCCAAAGGCGTGGTGGCACTATTGCCTTCAATAATTCATTACTGGTTTTGCCACCACCACCATCTTCTAGGGAGGTGAGGCTGTGGACCAGGTGAGAACAGCCTAGGAGGCTCCTGTCCTCCTCAAGGTCATCACACCAACCTTTGAGTATTTGGAGGAAGTTGAGATTCCTCAAGATGTGCTGTGAATTTCCACAAAGGTGGAATGCAGAAGCAACAGTGTTTCCAAAAGGCCACCATTCCTTTGCTGGAACTTGGTGGCTTAGGTGGTTGAGACCTGGCTGGGAATCTTCTTCCTTATCTCTCCTCGTGACTTAATATTTGGTACCGTGTCATGTTATCATGGACAGCGATCTTGGAAGTTCTCTTAAAAAGCCATAGCAACTAAGGGAGAGGGTGGACAATGGTGGGTGGTGAGCAAATGGCATGGAGGGATTGGGTTTGCTTTTTCTCCTGCTGTATCAGATAATATAAAAACCATCTTGCATCAGAAAAATGCACTATGCCTCCCATTTGTATATGAATCTGAGAGCTGACATGTGAATGCAAAAAGTCATCCTGCGGCATGCGTCCTTTTCCCCAGTATGAAAATTAATCTGTTTGAGAGAGAGAAAAAACCCTAAATCCTAGTACAACTTCTTTCTGCATGATGTCAGCTCTGCAGTAAGGATGGGCAAAGTCAACCTAAGTCTGCTTTATCCTGTTTTCACATTGATCTGCAATTTTGCACAAAAGTATCATTTTAACTGTATGGTGAAATATATATCAGGGTTTTTTTTTCAAGAAACACCTTTCTGGGAGGTAAAAACTGGCTAGTTTGTCTCAGAACATACCAAGACTGAATTCTTTAGGCATGAGATTCTCATTGGGAGATCCCAGCTGCATCCACATTTTCAGTCCAATAATGTTGCTGGAAAAACAAGCATTTCTCGTCCCATTTGCCGTCTTCCTCCCTTCCACCCACACGCATATTTTTGGCAGTGGAGTCTGGCGGCTTTGAACCAAGCACCACAATTTCCAATGTGAGCTCCTAGATATCACAGGAAAATTGAATCATGCCAAAACTGGAATGCTGGAAGGAGCTATTTGATGGCCAAACCTACAAGTGAAGGATATGGAGCCATACCAGGCATACTGCACTGAGCAGGGGATTGGACCCTCAGGCTCCTTCCAACTCTGCTCTTTTATGATTTTATGATTTTTTGATACTGGGAAGAGGAGCAAAAGACACAACACATGTGTGTGGCTGTCCCTCAGGAGAATGCAAAGCTGGCCTGAATTAGGTTTGTTACCCTGGAGATAAAGCCTCTGCCCCTACCTGCTTTCCTCAAATTCATGTGTAGTGGGGGAGATTTTGGAGAAGAAACAAAACACTCTGGTTTGCTGAGACACAAACAAGAGATTGATTGGGCTTCATTAACAAGCCATACAGTAGTTAGGGCTGTTTGCCCTTTGTCTTGTGGTGTAGCTATTAGCAGTGTTGAATGAGTTGCAGTGTTTCTTAATGGGGGTACAGGAATAACAAGCCGGCAGGAGGTGGACCTGAGTGACTACTAATTGATCAGGGCCTACAGTCTCTTTGTAGAGGGAGAGAAGAGATGGGGCGGGTTGAGCAGTGAGGAAGCTTCTGCTGTATCAGCTGAAGGATGGCAGGGCAGGTCAAAGGGAGGTCCGTGTCAACACATTTCCACACTCCTCTGAATTTGTGAGCTCCTATTTCCATGGCCGCCACTGATGGGGATTAGAGTCTGTTATTAGCTCTGAGGAGCTTTCCAGGTCTTGGGAGTCCAAATACTGTTACCTCTTGATGAGGATTTTGAATTCATACATTTTCTGAGCTTGCAAGGCAATTTGTGGCGCAAAAATATACATTCAATGATAGGTGTACATTTGAAAAACACACATGAAAAATTGCGCACTGCTGAGAAAATGTGCACAGGTAGCTTTAAATAATGGGACAAGCATGACTAGGTTTCAGAGATGCACATCACTTGAAGGGCATGTTTGGGAAAATATGTATAAAATATGCACAGATTTTCATTTGAAAAGAAGAGAAAACCTTATCACAATCTGAGAATGCACTCAAGTTGGAACAAACCTTAGAAGGGAATCTGGAGGAAATCAGCAAGCATTTTCTTAGCTTTTTCTGGGTGGAGGGATTCAATAAAGGTCCATAGAGATTATAATAGGAGGTTGAATTTCAATTAATTTTTTGGAGGCAGGAGGGAGAAATGCACACATACACACTTATAAGAAGCATCAGGCATGACTCCCAAGAGCAAATAAGAGGTACAGCAGAATTTTCCAAAGCTGGCATGTTTTGTCTATTTAATGTATTTTGATTTTTATGTGATTTTACAGTATTGCAGTCTGCCCAGATGGAAATGTCTAAACCAGCAAAAAGGCACACCTGGGCATCCCCATGTCTGATTCAACATTTTAATACAGCTGCTCCCAAATTGTGTTCTGTGGCACCCTAGGGTTCTGCAAAAGCTTCGTAGGGGTTCCATGAAAAATCGCAAAAATCAAAATGTATTTTGAAACAAAACCACACGGGGGCCAGCTATTTGATTGTCAGTTGGTGTCCAAGCAGTAAGCAAGAAAATACATCACGTCATTTGGTTCTTTCTGTGCTGTTGGGAATAATGGAAATACTTCATCTGGGATATCGCTGTATATTTGCTTTATTTATCCCTTATATTTAAAATTTAACTTTATTTCGAAAGCTACTATGGACTCAGGCAATAGGAACAGATTTAAGAAGGAAGAACCTTGTAGGTTCACTACGCTTCATAAACATCAGGGATAGAGTTAGGTTTCTGCAGGAAAAAAATGTCTTCAAAAAGGTTCCATGAACAGAATTTGGGGAACCGCTGCCTTGATCCAGACTTCTACTACCCGATGCCTTCCAGATGCTTTGGAGTACTGCTCCCAATTTTCCTGATGATTGGCTATTTCGGCTGCAGTTGATATAAGTTGATATAAGTTGATATAAGCCAAACACATCTTATAGGCACCGGGAACAGCACTCTAACTGATAGACCATATTCATATTAGAAGAGGGACATGGAGGAGGAAAGGAGAAAATGTGCAAGCTCAGGTAGCAGCTCTCACACTAAGCATTTGGCTTCTCTTTCAGCTCCCAGCTTCGATTATGGGGACATGCCCTCTCCCCTGGGGGAGTCCGAGAGCACCATCACCGTCCTGCTGAGACCAGCCCAGGGTAGAGGCGCCCCAATCAGGTACAGGAGTTCTGATATATTGCACCTTCTTTTCTGTACTGTTATCCATGGCATGCATCGCATCGCATCGCATTTCTTTTTCTGTTTCTTTTCTCACTTTTTTACGCTGACTGCAGCTTTGTTGAGTGGTTGGTCACAGGACTCCTGTGCTGGGAAAGCATTTCACTCCCTGGCCCAACGCCATGTCTCTGCCCCATTCATGCACACACCCCGTGGCTGCTTCCTTGCGGGGGAGGACATTCAGGTTTTCATGTTTTGCTCTGCGGAGCACACAGGGATGGGGACTAAGCAGGGAAACAGTTGCACGGGGTGGAATGTCAAAGCTCCCTCTCTCTCATGCCCCGATCCTTTGCGTCGCTCTTCACAGCTTCATCCAACCCTTTCCAGACTCAGTCCTTGGATATTGATGTGTCTACAAGTATTCTTCATGTTCTTGAACACTGTTGGGCAGCAGTTGTCCTTTTAATGATCAGGAAAAGGAGTTGCTGTATTTTATTTAGCAGTGGGGGAGCATTTTTCAGCCTGAAAGCCACACTGGCTCCAGCAAAGTGTGAGGTGGTGGGAGGGTGGTGTCAGATCTCATTGAGACAGTTTCTGCTGGCATGTGGTGCACAATTCAGCTTTTGTTTTCTGAATAGGAAAGGAGTATTTTTTTTCAAGCACAGAGCATGTGCACTTTTCCAAATATGCAGCCCAAACATGTGCTCTCCCCATTGGCTGAGTGCAATGTGAGTGTGGTGGAGATTGTGCATTTTTGGAGGGTATATTTGCATAAGTGTGCAATTTTGGAAGAATGCAATTCTGAATATGCAAGCTCTGGAAGTTTCCAAATTTCCCAAGGGTTGGTTGCTTATTTATTTATTTAAAGGTTTTCTATGCTGTCCCATTGCTAAAAAGTCTCTGGATGGCTTACAAGCAACAAAAACCCAAAGAACAATAACACATCACAACAACAACAATGCACAGCACACTGCATCCAAAAATAGTGATTAAAAACACGGATAAAGCCAATTAATTGTTAAAATACTGGGGAAATAAAAAGGTCTCTGCCTGGCGCCAAAAAGAATTGAGTGATGGCGCCAGGCGAACCTCCTGGGGAGCGTATTGCACATGCTTCTATGCTTGCTTTCCCTTTGGGTTGCACTTGAGACCTGTCTGCCTGATTTGTGGACAGGAATGAGATCCTTGCACTGCCCTGACTTCCACTGGGCCATAAATGACCCTAAACAGAGCTACCACTCCATCTGCCTGGACCCACACGGGGGCCCCCGGGCTGGCTGGATGGAAAAGATGGCTTTGCGTCTTGCCCATCTGCCACTTCATTCCAGCCCACATATCAAAACAGCAGACTGGCAGTGAACTTGACCTCCCGAAGCTTGTGCTTGAGCTGGGCTGCAAAGCTGCGTTTCATTGTCCTGCAGGGATGCTGCTGCGAGCCACCCACAGTCAGAGCAAGGAAGGGACTGGGCATCTAGCTCATCCCTTTCTTGTCTCTGTAATTAGAATCTGTATTTCTCAGAGTCGTTAAACAAGGCATAATTCGCCCCCCCACACACAGATGTCTCCAAAACACCTGTCTTGTTTGTGCAGAGAAAGTTTTAGTTGTAATTTAATGCATTTTTAAAAGAGCTGCTTGTTTAACAAGGCTCACATCTTTCCGTCAAGGTGTGAGATCTGCCTGTGAATCCTGCCAGGCACTTAAACATTTCCCTCTGACATGTTGCTATTACCCTTTCTGATCATGGCAGAGGGATGGGGAAATTTGCAAGCAGCCTCCTGGGTTGGTGTCTTTAATTACAAGCTTTGGGAGGCCAGGTTTGATTTGCGACAGTGGCTGTTTCTGAGCATGCATTGTACCCATCAATCGCAGGCACAAGAGGACCAGAGAGAGCCCTGCCTCTGCTGGTTTTCTGGGGCTCTTGCTCAGGTGAAGGACCTGAGCAGGTGTATTCATGTGCTTTGTGCAGCTGCCAGGTGCAAAATCCTCTTTCATTGCAATTGGACAGGGAGGAAATACAAGAGAAGCAGGAGCAAAGCTTGGCCCACAGCTGCCTCTTTGTAAGACCCTTTAGCCAAACTTTGCCTCTTCCCTTGCAAGCCATTCCTGATACCTTCATACTGGGAAAGCCTGATGTGGGAGGAGGAGGTCTGCCTTGGTGAGTCAGTGAAATAGACTGGATCTTCTGCTATGAATAGGGAATATTTTTAATCCAGACTCTTGCAAGTCAGTTCTACAGCTAGTTAATTTAAGTTCAGCTAGACCTCAGGAGCCCTGTGATTGCTATCTAATGTCTAGCTGCATTAATGAAGTGATCTGCATCCTGGTAGGACTGAGCATGCATGTCTTTCCTGATTCACTGCTGTTTGCAACGGTATGTGTGCGTGTCTGTCAGCAATTGAAAGGGGGACGAAAGTTGTTGACAAGATTCATGGTGTGGGTGGGGGGGAATCTTTGGTGGCAGAAGTAGGACAAGCCCTTTCTCGGTCCTACAGCTTTCCTTTCAGGACTGCTACAGGTAGCACCAACATACTGGGTACAATTCTGGCCTCAGCACCAAACATACATACAGACAGGTGTGTGTGTGTGTGTGTATGTGTGTGTTGGGGACTGGGGGAAGACTGTATTGTTGTGCTTGGGAGAAAGTACAGAAAAGTGTACCCAAAGTGGTAAGTGCCTGGAATGACTCCCATCTGAGGAAAGGTTACATCTGGGACTGCCAAGCCTGGAGAAGCAATGCATGGGGAGAGACACGGTGGAGTGTACACAGTTATGCACAGTGTGGCAAACAATAGAGAGGGAGACATTTTTCTCCCCTTCTCCTCAGACTAGGACCCGCAGAGGTCATCCGAATGGTGGGAGATCCAAGGCAGATGAAAGGAAGGCCTTCTTCACAGAGCACATGGTTGAACTGTGGCGTTTGCTCTCACAAGATGTAGAAATGGCTACCAGTTTGGATGGCTTTTGAAGGAGACTGAAAAAATCTGGAGGAAATGACTACCAATGGGCACTAGTCTGATACCTCTGGTATCAGAGCATTATGTCCATGCGTACCAGTTGCTGTGGCGCATGGAGAAATGGCGCCATTGCAGTCTCATCCTGCCTATGGGTTTTTCACGAGCAGCTGACTGGCCACGATGTGAACCGAACACTTCGGTGAACTTTGGTCTGATCCAAGAATGCTGGTAGTTGCTAGCTTGGGTTTGGTGAACTGCTCTGTGCACGCTCAGACACTCTTCTTCTGTTGGTTATTAGTTTGCTTGCTATACCTTGGAAAGAGAGTGCTTTTTGCTCAAGAACATGTCTGTTATTTGAAAGGAAGGAGGGAACCCAGCTCCTAGCAGAGTTCATAGTTTTATCATCCATACCTCCCCACTAGATTTTTCTTCAAGGGCAAAAGCACCAGTGGCTCAGTTGGTTTCCCTTCTTTTGCTCCGTGGTCTCAGAGGATTGCAGCTTACTCTGGACTCCATCTGATCTTGTCCCATCCTTTTCCTCTTTCTTGTCCCAACCTACTTCCCTGGCCATGTTCCCAGCACTTATCAGGTCATTGTGGAAGAAGACCGGCCCAGGAAGATCAAGCGGGAGGTGGCCGGGCACGAATGCTTTCCCGTGCCACTCACCTTCAGTGATGCCATGTCCCGGGGCTCAGTGCACTACTTTGGAGCTGAGCTCCCCCCCAGCAGCCTCACGGAAGCCAAGCCCTTCACTGTCGGGGACAACCAAACGTACAGCGGCTACTGGAATCCCCCACTGGAGCCCAAGAAGGCCTACCTCATCTATTTCCAGGCTATGAGCAACCTGAAAGGGGTGAGTAGCAACTGGGTGGAGTTCTTGTTGCAGTCCCTGATCCTTCTGCCTGGATCCCCTCAACGTGGAACATGTGTTTTGTCCCTGAGCTATGGCTGCTGGATCAGAGCCACTTTTGGTCAGCAAGGGGTGCTGCATCTTCATGTGCCTTCCAGTTGGGGTTGTAGGAGAAATCTGCAATGGGCTGAAACAAATTCGAATTTCTAAGACTCCAACCATGGATTCTACACTGGAGAAGCTTTTCCTGAGTTATTTGGACACCACAAAACTGCAGACTATTTTTTAAAAAACTTTCCATAAATTTCCATAAATTTAGCTGTATTAAAATATGGAATATTAAGAAGTGACCCAAATGTGCATCTTCCCCACATAGGCTAAAGTGTAAAATATGCATATATTGCAGAAGGTCTGTGCATTTTGGGGAGTGTGAATTTGCACTAATTTCTCTTGCATCCAGAATGCTGAGCACAGGCTCTTCCCCTGGACAATGGTCCCTTCCTTGTCCAGACCAAACCTTCCTGCTGCTTGACTTTAAGGACAGGACAGGGCCCCTCCAGTCCAGGTACGGAAACCAAGTGTTCTGACAATGGGATCTTACTGCAGCAAAACACCGGGGAAGAGACAGCAGCCTAGGGCATGAGGCAGGCTGTGTGGCATCCACGGTTCTGTTGGCTTCCCTGTTTCTTTTCACATCCAGCATCTGCTGCCAGAAGGCGTTGCCCCTCACTGCCTAATGCAGGGGTGGGAGCCTTGAGTTCAGTTTCTGAGAAGCTCTTAGGAGGGGCTGAAGACAAAGGGGGCATGGCCCAAAATGTCTCCACCCATGAGGCTCTAGCTGCCAGGAAGCAAGCCTTTACAGAGGCATTTTTACCTTTTAGAAAGGGGTGGGGGGAATGGAGGGAAGCTGCAAGCTCACACGATCAATGGTTGGGGCAAAGGAGCAGGGCCAGGGCAAAGGGCCATGACCTTCTGGTGAGCTTCCTATGGAGCCCCCAGGCCTTCACTTCCCCATCCTGCATGATGAGAACCAGAGGGAAATTCATTTACTTTGAGCCTGATAGATGCCTCCAGGATCTCGGGTCTGGCCAGACTGGTTCAGTTTCCAGCAACATGCATAGAATAATTGGGCACATCAAGGACGGAGATCTGCATATGGTGATTTGTATCTGAATTTCTAGAAACAGGATTACTTTGGCTCTAATATTTTATTGTATTAGCCAGTCCATTCTGTAACTCTGGGTGCAGCTTATTCCTGCAGTAAACACCCGTATCAATTTCTACTTAGTAATTAGCTTGCCATGCTCTCTATTTCCTCACAAAAAGTGTCACTGTCAATTCCGTCTAGTCTGGCGTTGCTGTAGTGTGTTTTGCTAGGCTTACATGACTTGTGACCTTTAGACAGGCAAATTTTTAAACCATTTTCAGTTACTGCTTTTCAGCTCCCATGATTTGGCCAACTGAGGCCATAGGTTTTAGTTCCTTTGCTCCTTCCCCATTTTTCCCATCAGTATTATGTTTATTTCTTATTTCTCTTGGTAATGTTTTAGTATTGTATCCACTTATTTATGATTATACTACTAGTGTTTCAACTTTGTTTCTTTTAGCAGTGAGGTGGTAGACAGACAGCTCAAGGCAGGTTACTCCCATGAAAGTCTCGTAGTTGCCGAACTTTGAGATGTATGCTAATTTTGGGCTCTGCAATTTGCACACATCTCCTGACTTTTTAAAAATGACATTGCACAAATTGCTACCTTAAAAAAGAAACTCTGTATTCTGGCTTGACTGAATTGGTGCCAGCATGGGGGAAATGGCAAATGCACTGGATTTTTAACCCCTCCACCAAAGGGATTCCTTCCACATTCCAGCCTACCCCTTATTTTATAGCTGGGCTAGCCCTTCCTGACAGCTAACAGTTTTCTTTGAACAGGGAATGTACCACCCATGCCTAGCTTGTAGGTAGGGCTGTTAGCTTTCCATTTTTAGCTGTTATTGCCAGATGTAGGATGTCTCCTTATCAATCTAAGGCATGGCCATGCTTGGAATTCTGTGCACAGTTCTGTCATCCCACTTCTCCCCCCACCCCCACCCAAGTATATTAGAGAGGTGGAAAAGCTGCAGAAAATAGCAACTGAAATGATCAAGCAGCTGATGTACCTTCTGTATGAAATAAGGCTATAAGTGTGGGTATGTGCACGGGGGAAGGATTAGTTATTTCTACAATGATGGGAAACACAATAATAAAGAGGTTTATGCATAGTGTGGAGAAAATGGTTAAAGGGAGAACATTTTGTTTGCTTGCTTTTTTCTCATTTCCCATAGCACCACTGGGCAAGTGGATTTGGGATAAGAAAAGAGAAGGGATTTCTCCACAGAATACCTAATAATTTGTGCCACTGGCTTTAGAGGTTCCCCTGCTGGCTGGCAATCCTGGGAGCTACAGGACTTTTTTTTCTGCCAAGACATACTTGGAACTGCATCTTTGGAAGATGTATAGACCCCCCAGTTTCTATCCTTTGGATGGTTAATACTAACAGAAATCAACGCAAAATGTGTGAAACAAGGAAGCACCCACATGCGCTGGGGATTTTCAGAAGTGCCAAATGATCATGACTCGGACGAAGCCCATGGTGGCTGGAGAATGCTACATCCATGTTAGTTGCAAAAAAGAAAATGTAAGAGTGATGGGAAGGGGAGCGGATGATCACCTGGCGTTCCTTCCACTTTATAGCAGGAATGGGGAATGTGTGCCTTTCCAGATGTCTTTGGACTTCACCTCCCACAGGGTGTTGCAGTTGGACATCTGGCGGGACCTATGCATACCCATTCCAGTTTATGGTGCCTTGCTGAGGACGTGTCTGGCTTGCTAGGACCCCAAATAGGAACAGCCCTACTGAAAAAGAGATTGTGCTGCAAGACTTTGTTGCAGTTGCTACGTGTGCTGCTGAATGCAAGTACCTGCATGGGAGGGTTTTTGGCATCCATCCTTTACTTCTGGACTTCCTATACACACCTGGGTAACTACTGTAGGAAGCAGCATGCTTGGAGCATATGGAGCTTTGGTCTGATCCAGCCAGGCTTGTTCTGTGACTTAGTTTCACTCTCCCATAAGCTTGGGTTGTAATGATTGACAGAAGTGATTGATTTCATGGTCCATCTGCAAGGAGAATGGAACAGCTGCTTGAGGGGATGCCTTGGAGAGAGTTTCTCTCTGCCTCCGGGTCCCTTCCAGCCTCTTCCTGATTGATGCAGTCTGGTTCTTATGAACCTCAGCATCAGACTCTTCCAAATGGCACATCAAGGAAAACTCCCACAATAACTATAGTGTGGAAATTAAGGAAAATGATGCCTATTTGTTCCATTTTCATTCTTCCATCTGCAGCAGAAGCTTTATATTAGCACATCGTTTGGCAGGAAAATGGACAACACAGGGGATGCCTCTGGAATCCCTTGGGGCAGATGAGATTGAGAGTGAGAAGCCAAACAATGCACAGAAGTGAGAACGTGACAAATGGGTGCTTGACTGGGTAGGAGGGTTTGCCAAGCCTTCTGGACATGGTTGGGCTGAAAACACTGTTAAGCAGATCACCTTAGGCTGGCTCTCAGGCTGGCTGGGGAACACCTTGGGTGATGCCCTGCACTGATAGGCCTTGATGTCCAGGAATACAGTGCCAGTGACCATCATCCTTTGCAAAAGTTCCTGTGATTGTGAAGGACAGAGTTGCAATGTAAGTGCCAGTTTACACACATGCAGACACACACACACACACACACACACACACACAAAGAGAGAGTGCTACACACACACAGGATGCTGAACTAAGTCTAAGCCTAAGCCTAAGCCTGGGCTCCAAACTGAGCTATCTCTCTAGGAATTTTTGGTAGCCGTGGCCCCTTTTTTCTGACCACCAATCATCTGGTGGTTTCCTGGCTTTTGCGTGTCCCCTTCACAATTCTAAAAGGTTGACATGCCTCTCTAAAGACTAAGCCCTGGTGGCAAGAGCTTTAAGCATCAAGTACAAGCTTGTGGTGGTTCTCCATAGACGTATGGCCTGATTGAGTCCACCTGGAGAACCCTCACTGTGGTGGCTTCACTAATCTGGAACTTCATGTCTCTGGAGGCACCAATTTTGGGTTGTTTCTGGTGCCTCCTGCAAACATCTTTATTGCAGAAAGCTCTATTTGGTCCAGCAGGAATGTTTTTGTGAATATTTTTGTTAATATTCTGATATCTTTTATTTTTTCCTGATTCACTGCCCTGGTATCTGTTTAGATGGAGAGTGGTATATTAACATTGTACCTAGCGGTGTTCTTAACGTAAATAAAACTCAACTCTAGACATTTGCCTTTGCCTGCACCCCTTTTGCCTTCAACCCTCCCCATCACTGGAAGGCAGCCATGGAGAACTTCTTGAGATGCAGAAAGTTCAGCACTTCTGGTATATGAGACTCAGGGCTTCTATGCATGAGGCATTTGCTGCATGGCCATGATTCCTTGAAGAAGTTTGTACATCCTTTTCATGGCACCATCATTCCCCAGTTCTGTTCTGTGTTTTTCAGCTGTTTCCATGGCTCTCTATAGGGCATTTAAGTTGCTTTTTTTGTGGAGATTTTCTCTTCCATTTGTTGTTGTTTTTGCTCTTGTTCCTCTTCTGGAAGGGTGGCAGGAAAAGCCCATCCTTTCCAAGGTTTGTCTTTCTCTGCCTCTCTGCATATCCATTTTTCCAACCACAAGGTGGCTCTGTGGAATCCAGCATTTCACAAGACTTTCACCCTGGTTTGTTTTGCATTGGGAATGTAATAACTGACTTCCCTCCATTTAAAAAGCCACGTAAATAGCTGAAAAAGCAGGGGAGAGGCCCTGGCAGCTGAAAATGAAAATGAGCCATGAACATGAGAGCGAGAGTTTATGAGGGCCAAATAAATGCCTCATGAAGAAAAGCCCTTAGAGGAAAGTCAGCTTGGGTATGAATTGTGTTCCTTGGAGAAAATGGTGGGATACAAATTGTAATGAAAGAGCAGCATTTTTGGGAAAAAAAAAAAACCTGCCTGTTTTTTTTCCTCCTTCTCTCTCTCAGGAAATGAGGCTGAATTGCATCCGAATAGCCCGGAAAGGTGAGCATTATTCCCTGTGTGCTTTGTGTGCCCCACATCCTCAGTCACAGACTGGCTTTTCCGCATTCATTCTCAGGCTGAGTCACGTTGGAGTGGCTTCTTTCTCCTGGGGCGTGGCTCTTGGGAAGCCAAGCCAAATCTCTTTGAGCCAGACTAAAAGATTTGGTACGAAGCAGAGCTGCAAATGGTGCATCTCTTCAGGTCAGAGTGCATCACACCCAAGGCCTATTGTGTTGTTAGGCACGTGGGTCAGAAAATCTTACAGGCATGGAGCTGAAACTATAATGAGGATGCTCTACGAAACCATCCATCATCTGCCCTTGTAGGATACCCAACTTCAGCAATCCAAATGGCTGCTTCACTCTTCTTCAGGGTAGATCTGGCCTTGGAATTAAGTCCTAGGCTGGGATTCTTCCCAGGGCTGGCTCAAGACGTTTAGCTGCCTGCGGTTTTAACAGGGTGAGCCCCTTTCCCATGCCATGTACAAGAGCCAAGTGGGCTAGTGATTTAATTCTTTTCTTTAATGCTGAGGGTGGGTCACTGCCCTCCACCATGCCCGAAGGCAACAGGCTTGCTTGAGGGGCTCAGAGTAGGTGGCGACACCCACTTCTCTCCTCCAGTGCTGCATAAGGCACTGCAGGGCTGCTGGGGTGCCTTGGGCAAGCCGCCCCCAATGAGTTTACCTCCTCAGTGCAGCTGCTCCTCCTCCTCTTTCTTGCCACTTGCTTGGTTTTCAGGGAAAGTGCCAGTGGGCAATGTGGCAGTGAGATCTCCTGCTCCTCCTTTCTAGCATCACTGTTGTCTGGGCCAGAGGGAGAGGCTGGCTGATGTGGTGCAGAGGAAGAGCAGGGCCAGGCATCTCTTGACGGTGGGCCCTTGCTGGAATGGGGACCCACCAATAAGCCCATTTTCAAGCATGCCTATTTTTCACAGCAGACAAGTTTGCACACACAGCATTGTAACTATGGTGGTGGTGATGGTGATGGTGATGATGATATAGAAAAAGCCAGGTGGGGGCACTGGCTCTGGATCTGGCCTTGAATGAAAACAGCAGAGACCCAGTTGGAGAGATGAGTTTCTTCCGAACATCTGTGCCTTATTATCTGAGTAACATTTTTCACTGCAAATTTCCTGCATGGCAATCCTGGGGGATTTCTCTGTGCAAAAGGTCACACATTCCTAATCTAGGCTTGAAGTGAAAGCGGCTCAAAAACATAACCACAGTGTGGTTGCTCTACATCTCCCCCACCCTGGAGATACTTTTGCCTGATAGCAAAATACTCCAGGCTCAAACAGGAAGTGAATTCTTCCCAAGTCCATGATAGTCTGTAGTCCAAGGCTTATGCAGAAACATTTTTTTGGGGTTCAAAGAACAACAACATGGATTTTATAGGAGAACAAATTATGTTTTGTATTGGAAGGGGGTGTTTTTACTTTCCTGACATACTTTTGAAAAGCCAGCACAAAGTTTCTTGATCTGTTCTGCTGGGGAGTGGGTGTTTGGGGGCACATTTGGCATTTGATATTGCATCTGTGCACAAATAACCTCCACAGATTCTCCAACCAGTGGAGCAGGACTATAGTGCAGCTCAGCAAATGTAGACCTTGGACCTAATAGATCTATCAGGGCTGTGGGACAGGCCATAGATGGCTGTGATAGTTGGGATGCATCTGATTAACACACCTCTTCTCTCCATCTTGCCCCCGGTTGCACCCTCATTAAATTCTTGTGAACTGCCCAGGGAGCTTTAGTTATTGGGCAGTATAGAAAAATGTAATGAATCAATAAATCCATGCTTTGGCATCTACTCCTGATACCTTAGAGAGAGAACCAACCACTTCTAAACTGTTTGCCAAATCAATAAAAACAAGCAAACTAACACTCCCTCCTGTCCTCCAAAATCTGCAGTTTTGCATTTTAAACTCACTTCACTCACAGTACCCTCTTGACTCCAGGAATTAGCTGGCGCTAGCTGTCCTTGGGAATAATCACCTTTTTTTGATGGGAAAGGACAGTACCAAAGCTTGTACAATAAAATGGGCATCTGTAACTGTGTACGGAGCCAACCAGTCAGAAAATGATAAACTGTTTTCTGGAAGAAAGGTTGAGGCTGCAACCTTCATTGGTCCGTAGGGCCATGCCAGGCATATGGGCCAGGGTGCCCCCATCTGCTGGCTGATGTGGCGTTATTTGCAAGGTCCTTGGGCTGTGCGGCTCTTGATCTGGGCAGAGAAATTGGGATGCACACACGCACATGTGCAGTTGTAGCACATCCTTCCAACAGTGTTCTGGGAGCAGGGATGGGGGCGTCTGCTTTAGCAGGGGCAGTGGCACAGAGGCCTCGATGGGAACCTCAGGCCATCTTGTTCCTCCAGGCCATTGACTTAGGGACTGGTTTGGTGGGAGCTTCAAAGGAATAGTAGAAGATATTTGGCAAACATTCTGCAATCTGCTCTTCTTTTTCTGGAGCATTTGGAGAAAAAGAAACACCTCCGAACTGTACACAGAAAAATACCTTCTGAGACACTTTTGGCTCAGCTCTTTCATTTATACAGGTGGCTGGAATATTAGCCAAGTAACTTATATTGCTGGCAGTGACCAAGAGCTACTCATGTGAGTGAAATGGATCAAAGAGATATTTCAGGTGTTCTCTCTCCAGCTCTTGAAATTTCAACAATTAATGAAATGCTCCATCTTTCCAGGGGATTGAACTTCAGAGCCTTGTGTGTTTAATAAAATGCATTGTTCTTGACTAATATATCCTGCTCCCTTTTGGGTTCAGGGAAAGGAAGCAGAGAAAAAATGTAATAAAACAAGTGAAAATTGTGGCACTGTGAGAAATGAAAAATGGGCACAAGTGTGCATGTGTGGGTGTAGCTAGTGCAGAATTCACATGGAAGTTGATCTGGTAAGTGTAGGGTGACTGTGTGTCCTCATTTGCAGAGGAGGGTCCTCAGTTAGAAGGGTGATTCAGCCCAAGTCTGATTTCAAGCTAAAGAACCCCAGGAAGGGAGAGCAGGGGCCATGAAGTTGTCCACCAATAGATAAAGAAGGGCTGCTTCTCTCCATGAGGAAATTTGCACAAACGAATGTGGGCACATGTCTAGGAATTTACAGCTGTTCACTGGAGGCTCATGCTCACATTTGGAGCCTTGAATGGGGAAGGCTCATGTGTTCTGTGAGCCTGAACAAGATGTGCATATGCACTTGTGCTATAATCCCTCCAACCAAGAGTATAAGAGTATTGAGAAATTTAGGGGGTTATACTGCTGGGTCTACAACAAAGCAGTGTGCATGTTATTCTGAAAGCAGTCACATTGTATTTCATGGCCTCACTCTCATAAAAGACTTGCATTGCTGAATTAGTTTCCTTTAGAGGAGAGAACAATCTCACAGGTCTGTGCTGAAGGCTGTTAGGCTCCTCTTGACTTTATATGCCAAGCACAAGGCCCTGACTTGGCTTGGCACCTAGTAGCTGGCTAGTCCAGTTGCGTCAACACTGCTGCAACAGGCTGGGGTCCCATTCTGCATCTGGGCTGGGGTGCTCTGCGCCAGCTGCAGTCCTGGGCTTTTCAGATTGTGCTTTGCTGCTGTTTTTTACATTCAGTTGGCTCTGTTGTCGTCTGAAACATTTGCAAGTGTTTACATCATGCTTTAATATTGATTTTTCCTTCCTTCCTCCTCCTCCTCCTATTTTTTTATAAGTCATCCAAAGACGGCTTTTTTGGTAAGCTGTCCAGAGACTTTTAGTATTGTCATGGCTTATAAAAACTTTAAATAAAATAAATAAAATCTTTAGTTTTGGAACTGCACAGGAACATGGTGTAGGCCATTGTGGCCATTGACCTGCAATAAACTCACAGACAACACACACATTGCTCGTAAATCATTCTAGCCCAATGTGGTGAACTGTGAGGACTGCATTGCTTTTGAAAGCTTTCTTTCTTTCCTCCTTGTTATGCAAAGTGTAATGACTTCTCTTTCCTCCCCTTCCCTTCATTGTACACCCTCTCCAATGTGTATTCTGAAGCGGTGCAGTCCTAACTGAAGCGGTGCCATGCGGGGCTGAAATGTGTTTATTTTGTGATGGAATGATTGCCCAGCACAGTGGAGGGCATTAGAGATGAACTGAAATATTCCACTATTTCACACCTGTTATTGCAACTTGCCTAGATTTACATAAGCTTTGCACATTCTAGCGCTAGCTGGTATGGTGCGGTGGTCTGAGTGTTGGACTGGGACTCAGGAGATCCAGGTTCTAGTCCCCACTCAGCCATGAAGACCACTCTTATGACCACTTACAACCCTTACTGTGTTGTTGTGGGGATGAAATGGGGAGGACGAGGGTCCTGGAAGCTGCTTCGGGTTCCTTTCAAGAGGAATAAAGGAAGGATATTAATGTAATGATAAAGGTAATGTAATAACAGCAGGCAATTTAAGGCTGCTGGGTGATTGTTCTGTGTTTGCTGTTGGAAACATCTGTTTGGGAAACAGCAATTTAGGCTGGTTGTTCCCTTGCTTCTAATACACACACACACACACACACACACACACACACAGACACACACAATTTTATTTTGTTGGGTGAAATTCACTTTTGTATTTTAAATGACTCTTGGCATGTGCTGGTTATGCATTTTGTTTTGTTTTTATATGCTGACTGCTAAAACTGTATGAAATGCAGCAAGGCGAAGAAGAAAGAATTGGCCAGTGGATAGATAGAGGGGGAGAAAGAATAGAGGGGAAAGGAAGTGGCAGTTTGCTGAGAATCGAGGCCAGTCAGCAAGGGAGGCTATGTCAACAGGGTCTCGCTTCCATTACAGTCTGTATTTTGAGCGTTGTAACCGCTGTCCATGGTGCTGATCTCAGTCCCCAAGTCACTACCACGGGTAGCTTGCATCAAAGTTATAATAGATATGGAGACCCACTGACACGGAGTCTCTAGCTTCCCCTACCCATCGGAACTCCCAAGTGATCTGATCAAACATTGAAGCCAAAC